GTCATGCCCTACGCGTGTTGAAATCATGACGTCACTCACATAGCAACTTTCCAAGACCAACTTGTCAACAAAAGTCACGCCGTTTAGCCCATACTGCGTCAAATTAGAACACACTCATAAATTTTATAACACAAGAAAATTCCCTATCAAAATAGCATGATAATGAACAAAAGAAATACTGCTTACTCCTAGGAATATACAAGACAAATATATAAATAACTCAAAATATAAATATAACTCAAAAACTAGGTCACCGACATAATTTATGCAAATTATCCTTGACACCAGAAAGATCTTCAAAACAAAACGCGCTGGTTAATACAACTCAATGCTGCCTAAATAATAAAAATGAGGGTCTCGTTCACAATACAAAATGAACTACTCTAGGTGATTTTAACCCAATCATGTGTGGCCTACCTACACTAATATCCTCCTTTGAGGACAACAAATTAACCCCATGGGTCTAATACCCATTGGCGCAACTCGACAGAAGTCGTGGTTACACCTGCATCAGTTTTTACATTCAATCAGAAGTTAAGTAACTTTTATATTTATTTTACAGATATCTACGAAAGCATTTCTTCCCAAAACATTCTGACTTACAGTATGCAGGTAGGTAGGTTAGTGATATATTGGGCTTGGTCTTTTCCACGAAACGAAACGAAACGAAACGAATCCGAAACCCTAACTCGCATTTTTTTTCATTGGCCTAATAATATCTGAAAAAATTTCACACTGTGAAACACGAAATGAATAGCGCCATCAGTGTTCAACAATTCCAAAAGGTTTTTCACATCATTGTCAGCACAAATGAATCGAGCTACAATGTAGGCGGAAAAGAGGTGGAAAACTAAATATTCTCAACATATTTATTTCTGTGATGTGGCGATGTTTGAAGTCGTTTAAAATTGAAGGTTAGGGTAGACTAAGCTGATATATTGTTAAAAATATGAATGCCAGAGCACAAAAAAAATTTCACCTCCATCATCGTCAAAAATATCTAGCTCAAAATACTATATGTATGCACAGAATTTCTTCCATATTCCCTTATTCTCCCAGGTTTCTAATGGCCCTTGCCCTTGTTAAAAAAAAATTAAGAATGAGATTTTTCAAGATTGTTGCCAGAACTGATACTGTTGAATTGGACATTGTCTTCATACCATGTGCATAGCTCATTTTTGACTCCCATGTGCGAAGCACATAATGGGAGTCTTTGCAGTTAGTGTGTCTGTCTGTGTGTGTGTATGTATGTGTGTATGTGTGTCCGACTGTTCTACTGCTATCTCAAGAACCATACATCGGTTTTTGATGAAACTTGGTGCATAGATGCTCTGGGCCAATGCGCAGATTTGATTAGGTTTTGGTAAAAATCCATGCTCGTTAATTACCTAATTTGCATGATAATTAGCTAATTTTTAGCTGTTCTATGACTGTTCCACTGATATCTAAAGAACCACTCATTGGATTTTGATGAAACTTGGTACATAGATGCTCTGAACAAATGCGCAGATTTGATTAGTTTTTGGTAAAAATCCGTGCATATTAATTACCTAATTTGCATGATAATTAGCTGATTTTTAGCTGTTCCATGATTGTTCCACTGATATCTAAACAACCACTCATTGGATTTTGATGAAACTTT